GCACCTGCGCTTTCCCGCCCCTTGGGGGTCCCCCTCCTGGTTTCCAACAGCGCCAGCGGGGCCTTCGCCGGCCCGCTAATTGTTTTGTTTTGTTTTTTTTGCATATATATTTTTAGTTGGTCAATTAATCTCTTTCTATTTTTAGTAGAGACGCTCTTGCTCAGGCTGGTTTCAAACTCCCAAGCTTGAGCAATCTGCCCGCCTCAGCCTCCCAGAGTGCCAGGATTACAGGCATGAGCCACCACGCCCAGCCAAGATGGGGTCTTGCTATGTTGTCCAGGCTGGTCTTGAATTTCCAGCCTCAAGTGGTCCTCCCACTTCAGCCTCCCAGAGTGCTGGGACTACAGGCGTGAGCCAGCTTGCCAACCGGAAGTCTGGCCTTTCCACACTTCCTTATAGTTTTCCCATCTTGGTTGTCACCAAAGGGGTGTCGAATGGCACATTCATCTGGTTTACCATCCGTCTGCCCCACTGGACTGTGAACCCCACGAGCGTGGGGGGTTCTGTGCCTTATTCCCCGCTGTGGCCCAGCACCCAGCAGCTGCCCGGTAAATACAGGCAGAGTGGGCGAGCACATCGTGGCAGCGGTGACAATGAACTTGAGTGACGCTCGCTGTGAGCCCAGCTCAGAGCCGCAGAGCCAGGGCTGAACGCCCACCCGAAGCCGTTCCATGATGCTCTTTTTGCCATTTCCAGCCACTGAGGGCGCTGGACAAAGATTTGCTCAGCGTCTGTCCTTATGTCCACCTTGTCATCTTAAGTTCATCGCCAAAGGACACTCACTCTCATTAGGTAAAGAAAACCCAATACACTTGTCACCGGTACAAGATGACTTAAACATGTTCGGATCTGGCCGGGCGCGGCAGCTCACGCCTGTCATCCCAGCACTCTGGGAGGCCGAGGCGGGAGGATCGCTCGAGGTCAGGAGTTCTAGACCAGCCTGAGCAAGAGCAAGACCCCGTCTCTACTATAAATACAAAGAAATTAATTGGCCAACTAATATATATAGAAAAAACTAGCCGGGCATGGTGGCGCATGCCTGTAGTCCCAGCTACTCGGGAGGCTGAGGCAGGAGGATCGCTTGAGCCCAGGAGTCTGAGGTTGCTGTGAGCGAGGCTGACGCCAGGGCACTCACTCTAGCCTGGGCAACAGAGCGAGACTCTGTCTCAAAAAAATAAAAAAAAACCCAACAAAAAAGAAAGCGTCAGAGTGGAAAGAAAGATCAGCTCTCCGGGTGCTGGGGTGGCTGAATTGGTCGTGGCCTTGGGCCGTGTCACTTTGTTAGGTGCGTCTGAAGCCCTGGGCCGTGTGGTGGCTCCTGTCTGTAATCCCGCAGCGCTGGGCGGCTGCGGTGAGCTACGATCGCGCCCCTGCACTCCAGCCTGGGCGGCAGAGCGAGCCCCTGGCTCTCTAAAACAATGATAATGATAATTTAAAAATAATTAGAATTCCGGTGACTTGCTCCAAGCTGCCTGGGGAAGGCAGAGCAGGCGGCCCCGGCCCCGGGTACCTGGTCCCCCTCTCAGGGGAGGGCCGGCCCTTCCTGCGACCCTGAAGAGGGAGGCTGGAGAGGCCCCGGCTTAAGTGCACATTGTTTCCTAGCAGGGCGACGTCACTTAGGGTAAACAATGTCAAGTGCTTCCCCGGTTCTCAGCCCTGGCGGCCCTGGGCTGGGAGCCCGGCCCTGGCCCTGACTTGCCGGGCTCATGACCCCAGGCTGGTTACTTCCCTGGGGCCTCAGTCCCCTCCTCTGAGAAGTGGGGGTAATAATAGATCGTCCTTCCTTGCCAAGATGGGAGGGGTGTGGGGGTTGGGATTGTGTTTGCCTGGGACGGGGATCTCCTCCCCACCTTCTTGCTTCCCTTTCTGGGGGGCTTTCTGGGGCTGAGAACTTTCTCCCAGGCAAGCCCCACCGTCGCAAAGCGGGCAAAGGGCCGCTCGGCAAGGGGGTGAGCTCCCCGTCGGAGGGGGTATGTAAGAGGCATGGCGGAGCCGGAGCTGGACGTCAGCCTCAGGCCGGGTCTTTGGAGTCAAGGGGATCCGACTTTAGAGACCCCTCGGTGCCTCCTGGAGCCTGAGGTGGGAGTGACAATGCCCACCCCTGACTCCTGCACCGGGACGTGGGGGGCCGAGAACTGCAGGGAGCACAGGGTGTTCTTGGGAAGGCGGCCTGAGTCACCATGTGACGCACAGGGTGTAGTCGGATAGATGACCAGCCCAGGAGGAGGTGCCGGGCAAAGGCAGCGAGCCATGACCTCGGCGTGTGCCGGCGGCCCCCGGCGCCCCTTGCTCTGGCCCTCTGTGGACCGCACTTTACGGTTAGCAACCTGTTTCCGAGCCTGGACTGCAGAGACTCCCCCCCCCACTACCTTTTTTTTTTTAAGAGCCGGGGTCTCGCTCTGTCGCCCAGGCTGCAGTGCAGCGGCTTTATCACAGCTCACTGCAGCCTCCACCTCCTGGGCTCAGCGATCCTCCTGCCTCAGCCTCCCGAGTAGCTCGGGCTCCAGCGGTGAGCCGCCGCTGCCTGATCGTTTCAGTTTGTGTAGAGACGGGGGTCTGGCCATGTCGCCCAGGCTGGTCTTGAACTCCTGGGCTCGAGCGATCCTCCCGCCTCGGCCTCCTGAGTAGCTGGGGCTCCAGGCGTGAGCCACCGGGCGAGGCCAGACTCCTCTCTTGCCCTGGCCAGCTTCCGGGTCTGTGCCTTGGCTGTCCCTGCTGCCTGAGACGCTGTTCCTCCTCCTGTCCCTGAGGCGGTTCCTTCTCAGGCTCCAGCTCAGGCCCGGGAGGAGGGTCTCCTCGCCTCCCTTGCCTCTCTGGAGTCCGATCGAGGGGGTTCGTGTAGCAGCTGTGCCGCTCCCTGGCTGTGTTGCGTGGGGAGCAACGCATGCCCTCTCTGGGCCCCACTTTCCTTATCTGGAGAGTGGAAATCAGGGCAGCTTGCCCACCCGTTAGGGTTGTGAGGATTAAATCAGGGAGCTGATTTAACCAACGTGCTTAGGACTGCGTAGCGCTCACGATGGTGCCTAATAATTGTAGACTCTTGGGTTGTCTTATCATGACACATGGTCTGTCTGGCCCACTGCTCAGAGAGTTTCATGAGGACAGAGCTGGGTGTGTCTTGGTGACAGCTGTGTCCCCCAGGCCAGCAGGGGGGCCTAGTATACAGCAGGCGCTCAATTAAGGAAGCAGCCAGGCCAGGCGCGGTGGCTGACGCCTGTCACCCTAGCACTCTGGGAGGCCAAGGCAGGCGAGTTGCTCAAGATCGGGAGTTCGAGACCAGCCTGAGCAAGAGCAAGAGCCTGTCTCTACTAAAAATGGAAAGAAACTAATTGGCAGACTAAAAAATATATATATACAGGCCGGGCGCGGTGGCTCACGCCTGTCATCCTAGCTCTCTGGGAGGCCGAGGCGGGAGGATTGCTTGAAGTCAGGAGTTCGAAACCAGCCTGAGCAAGAGCAAGACACTGTCTGTACTATAAATAGAAAGAAATTAATTGGCCAACTAATATATATAGAAAAAAAAATGAGCCGGGCGTGGTGGCACATGCCTGTAGTCCCAGCTACTCGGGAGGCTGAGGCAGGAGGATCGCCCAGGAGGCTGAGCCCAGGAGTCTGAGGTTGCTGTGAGCGAGGCTGACGCCACGGCACTCACTCTAGCCCGGGCAACAGAGCGAGACTCTGTCCCCCCCCAAAAAAGGAGGCAGCCACTGTGATGTCAGCCTCCCTTCCTCCCGCTTTGGAGCCAGCTTCACGTGTCTCACCTGGCGGGGGCGGCGGGGCTGCCTGCAGGGGGCCTCTGGGACTCCAGGATCCTCCTCTTGAATTCCTCCAGGCCAGCCGCGTCTGCAGAGAGGGAGGGAGGGGACGAGCTGGCCCTGCCGCCTCGGCAGCCCCTGCCCCCGGGCTAGGGGTACGGGGGCCCAGGGCAGCAGGATGGGGGGGCTGCCAGGTGGAAAGGACCCCCCCCCGCCCCCCTTCCTGGCTCTGCCGGGTCACTCACCGATGACGGGCGGGGGGTTGGGGGCGGGCCCCACGGGTCTGGGCACCGACAGTGGCTGTGACTGTGGGCGGAAGGCGGGAGGGGGTTGGCAGGGGCCGGGGCCCCTGAGCTCCAGGCCCCGCCAGGCTCCTTCCAGCCTCGTGTGGAAGGACACACGCGTGACGGACGCACCCACCTGCACCCACCCGCACCCTCGAACGGCCTGGGGACTCCAGGGACCCGCCTCCCCGGGCCGCCCTCAGACACCCCGTTCTGCAGGGCTGGCCTGCCCCAGTCTCCCTCGAGGCCCCCACGCCCCTCCTCGGCCCCAAGTGGGCACGGCTGGCCCACCCTCCGCGGCCCCTTCCATCCTCGGTGGCTGCCCCGCCCCGCCCCACCCCGCCGGCCCCTGGCCCTAAAGCCGCCTTGGGGCAGCCTCAGCCAGTCCCCGCCGACCGCCCGCCGGGCACAGCTGGCTCTGAACTCAGTCCCCGGCCCCGCCCAGGCCACCGACCCTGCCTGACCCCGCGCTCCCCCGGATCTGACTCCGATCCCAGCCACCCCCGGCCCCGCGTCCCCCGTGAGTCCGTTGCTCCGGCCCCAGCCCTCGGGCCCACCGGGCCCACCCGCACACACCGGCCGACTCCACACCCAGTTCCAACCTCTACCCCGCAGCCCCCACCCCGAACCCGTGCTCAGCCCGGACTCCACTCCCACCCTAAGGCTCTGTGGAGACCGGACCTCAACCCTGAAACAGCCGGGGCCCCTCACTTGCCCCAAGCCCGTCTCAGCCCAGCGGCCCCCCAGATCAGCACCCACACTGGCCTCGCTCCAAACCCGATGTCCCCCCAGCCCCCACCCAGGGCCACCCCATCCTTCCTTTTTTTTTGAGACAGTCTCACTCTGTTGCCCAGGCTAGAGTGAGAGCCGTGGCGTCAGCCTCGCTCACAGCAACCTCAGACTCCTGGGCTCAAGTGATCCTCCTGCCTCAGCCTCCCGAGTAGCTGGGGCTACAGGCGTGCACCACCATGCCCGGCTAATTTTTTCTATATTTTTTTAGTTGACCAATTACTTTATTTCTATTTATAGTAGAGATGGGGTCTTGCTCTTGCTCAGGCTGGTCTCGAACTCCTGACCTCGAGTGATCCTCCTGCCTAGGCCTCCCAGAGTGCTGGGATGACAGGCGTGAGCCACCGCGCCCGGCCCGCCCAATCCTTTAGCTCAGCTCTACCCCAGCTCCGGCCCACTCAACCCTCAACCGACCGGTCACCCTAAGCCCAACCCAACCCCAACTCCTAATCCATTGTCAATACCAACCTGGGTCCCAATGTGGCGGGACTTGAAATTCCACCCTTGTCCCCAAAGCGCTCACCATGTCTAGACCCACCGGCCGCCTGCACGTGCCTGATCCCCAACTCCAGGCTCAATGCCTCCGCTCACCCAGCCCGCAGTGGCCCAGATCCAGGCTCGCCATTTGCCCGGCCCTACGCCCGGCCACCGCCCTCCTGACTGCACTTGTGCCCTTTCCTCGCAACCCAACTCCAGATTCACCCCCGAGGCTGAGATCTCTGGAGTCCCGAGGGGAACCCAGACTTTACCCCAACTTTAACCAACTCTGGGAGTGGCCGCGGCCGGGAGCTCATCTCAACCCAACTTGAACCCGAGTGCCCTGTCCGCGCTGGCCGACATCCTTTTTTATTTTTATTGATTGATTGATTGATTGATTTTTTGAGACAAAGTCTCGCTTTGTCGCCCAGGCTAGAGTGAGTGCCGTGGCGTCAGCCTCGCTCACAGCAACCTCAGACTCCTGGGCTCAAGCGATCCTCCTGCCTCAGCCTCCCGAGTAGCTGGGACTACAGGCATGCGCCACCACGCCCGGCTCATTTTTTCTATGTATTTTTAGTTGTCCAGCTCATTTCTTCCTATTTATAGTAGAGACGGGGTCTCGCTCTTGCCCAGGCTGGTCTCGAACTCCTGACCCTCGAGCGATCCTCCCACCTCGGCCTCCCAGAGTGCCGGGATGACAGCTGTGAGCCACGGCGCCCGGCCATCAACCTCCGTTTAGAGTCAAGCCCCAGCCCGACCCCAGCTCGAGTGGCAGCCGGATGACAACCCCAGACCCGACAACCGCTGGAGGCACAAACCGACCTTGCACTCCAGTCTTACCTCCCTCCCCTCTCTCCACTCCCCCACCTCCGTGTCCACTCCGTCCGGGTCCCAGTGCTGGGCGGGCGTCCCCAGGGAGCCCGAAACTCTCCCCCGGTGCAGACCGGGAAGCCAACCTCAAACCCGGCTCCCGGCTCAAGTTCAAGGTCACCACCACCACCATCACCACCAGCCCTGCGCCTGGGCCCGGTTCCGGGGCAGCCTGGGGGCCCCGCCGGCCTACCTTGGCCTTGATGCAGGTGTCCAGGGCCGAGTTGCTGACGGCCAGCTGCATCTTGGCCTGCTCGGCCTCCCTCTTCCTCTCCTGCAGCTCCTTGGCCGCGCCGTCCCGCTCCCTCCGCAGGGCCGCCTTCTCCTCCAGCGCCAGCTGCGTCTGCCGGGCGCACTCGGCCTGCAGCTTGGCCTCCCGGGCCTGGGCCTCCTTCTCCGCCTTCTCCCGGGCCTCCTGCCCCGCCCGCAGCCCCTGCTCGGCCTCCAGCTTCTGGCGCTGCAGGTCCGAGTTCTCCCGGGCCACGCGCTCGATGCCGGCCCTGAGGCTGCGGGCCAGCTCCTCCACCTTGGAGCTCATGACCCCGGGCAGGAGGTCGCAGCCGCGGCGGATGGCGTCCAGCTCCGGGCCCAGCGGCGCGTAGAGGCCGTAGCTCAGGGAGTCCAGCCGGCGCGGGATGATGGAGTCCCGCCACAGGCTCCGCAGGTCGGCCTCGAACTTGTCCTTGTCCAGCTGCAGGCACAGCGCCTGCACCTTCTGCAGCCGGTCCTCCGCCAGCTGCCGCTCCTGCCGCTGCTGCTCGCGGGCCCGCCCGCACTCGGCCAGCTGCTCCTCCGCCGCGCGCCGGGCCAGCGCCAGGCCCTCCCTGTCCTTGCCGCACACCGCCTTCTCCTTGGCCAGCTCCACCTCCGCCGTCCTGGCCTTCTGGCCCAGCATGAGGAGCAGCGCTGAGGGGGCGAGACCCGGGCAGGTCAGGAGCCACCGGGAGCACTGTGCAGAGAGTCCCCCCGGCCCCCGGCTCTCCAGTCGTGGGCTCGAGAGACCCAGGCAGGTCAGGAGTCGTCGGGAGCACTGTGCAGAGAGTCCGCCCGGCCCCCGGCTCTCCCTCCTGTGGGCTGGTGAGACCCAGGCAGGTCAGGAGCCGCCGGGAGCACTGTGCAGAGAGTCCCCCTGGCCCCTGGCTGTCCCTCCTGTGGGCTTGTGAGACCCAGGCAGGTCAGGAGCCGCCGGGAGCACTGTGCAGAGAGTCCCCCTGGCCCCCCGCTCTCCAACTGTGGGCTCGAGAGACCTGGGCAGGTCAGGAGCCGCCGGGAACACTGTGCAGAGAGTCCGCCAGGCCCCCGGCTCTCCAACCGTGGGCTCGAGAGACCCAGGCAGGTCAGGAGCCGCCGGGAGCACTGTGCAGAGAGTCCCCCCAGCTCCCGGCTCTTCCAACTGTGGGCTCAGGAGACCTAGGCAGGTCAGGAGCCGCTGGGAGCACTGTACAGAGAGTCCCCCCGGCCCCCGGCTCTCCGCCCTGGGCTGAGCACTCACCGTTGCAGCTCTTGTTGGTCTCCTGCAGACGGTCCTGGCACTGCTTCTCACTCAGGATGATGGCAGCCACGTACCGCAGATTGGTCGCGTCCACGGCCTGCCCGGCAGGAGGACACGGACAGAGCTCAGCGGCCAGCCCTCCTGGGACGGCCCAGCCCCACGCGGGGTCCCCAGGTGGCCGGAGGGGCGAGCTCCTGAGAGCATCGCCCCAGGGCGGGGGGTGTTTCTCTGATCTGCAAAAGTGTGGGCCGGGCGCGGTGGCTCACGCCTGTCATCCCAGCACTCTGGGATGCCGAGGCGGGAGGATTGCTCGAGGTCAGGAGTTCCAGACCAGAGCAAGAGTGAGACCCCGTCTCTACTATAAATAGAAAGAAATTAATTGGCCAACTAATATATATATAGAAAAAATTAGCCGGGCATGGTGGCGCATGCCTGTAGTCCCAGCTACTCGGGAGGCTGAGGCAGGAGGATCGCTTGAGCCCAGGAGCTTGAGGCTGCAGTGAGCTAGGCTGATGCCACGGCACTCCAACTTGGGCGACAAAGCGAGACCCTGTCTCTAATAAATAAAGCAAAACAAACAAACAAACACCAAAATCCGCAGTGCTGAGCAGCACCAGGGCAGCAGGAACACCAACATTTGTCCTCACTAAGATCAGAGACCAACGGAGCTGCCACGGCAGGGGCCCGGCGGGGCTGTCTCCCAGCACTGCGCTCCCGTCTTGGCAGGGGCTGGGCGGCCCGCAAGCCAGGGACCCCCGGATCCCTGGAGATAGAACCCTGAGGAATTGTGAGCCAGAGGAATTTGTCAACTTCGAGGAAAAGAAAAGAAAAAAATCTATGATTTTCAACTTTTCTTTCCTTTTTTTGAGACAGAATCTCCCTCTGTCTCCCTGGCTAGAGTGCTATGGCGTCACCACAGCTCACTTCAGCCTCCAATTCCTGACCTCAAGCAATCCTCCCGACTTGGCCTCCCAGAGTGCTGGGATTACAGGCGTGAGCCACGGCTCCCAGCCCAAATTGTTAAGTTTTTTTTTGTTGGTTTTTTTTTTGTGTGTGAGACAGCAGTCTCGCTCTGTATGCCCCACTAGAGTGAGTGCCATGGCGTCCGGGCCTCGGCTCACAGCACCTCAGATCCTGGTCAGAAGCGATCCTCCTGCCCTCAGCCGTCCTACGGAGTAGCTGGGACTACAGGCATGCGGCCACCCATGCCAGGGCTAATTTTTCGTATATTTCTAAATAGAGACGGGGTCTCGCTCTGCTCAGCGCTGGGTCTACGAAGCTGCTGAGCCCTCAATCGGATCGCCCACCGCTGGGCCTTCTCAGAGTGCTGGCAATTA